TAGAGCAAATGAGCTAAAATAAATGCAACTTAGTTTAAGAAAATAATGCATCTTGTTGGATCCTATTTGGATCCAACAAAATTCTTAGAACAGAGCTCATATTGGGACTATATATCAGAATCATCTAGGTAGCTTTCTCAAAAAATACATACCCTGACCCCACCTGAGACCTGCTGAACAGAAATAGAAATCAATCTAAAGCCTGGACCTGTTTCTGAAGAAAACTTTCCAAGCAATTTGAACACACTCCTGATTAAGAACCACTGCCCTAAAACATAAAGAGGTGGAAACAACAAGGCACATATCTAGAGAAGCAATCCCAAAATCCATGTACAAGGATGAGACAGGTGATGGATAAACTAGGCGCAGGAATTCTGACTACCTGTTAACTCTCTCCCTCTCTCAAAAGTTTGCCCAAAGGCAAGCAAGAGAAAAAAAAAAAGGTGCTATTATAGAGACAGCCTTCAATTACACTGCTTTATTTAAAATACATCTTATACAAAATTAGTTATTATAACTACCATCAGTAACATTTCTTACAAGACAGCATGCCAGTGTGACACACCAGAGCTTTTAGTAACTGACTAGAGCCTGCATCTCAGTTCACTGAAGTCCTGGATAACAGACTGCCTAAGACTCAGAGTAGCAAATGGAGCTAACAATAGATACTTTTTCAAATATCAGCTCTACTCACTTTGGAGAAAAAGAAAAGACCTACTATTCTTTCCTCAAACCTAGGAACACAGCTGCTAGGAATTATGCTGCTCTTTCTTCACCTCAAGACACAGGTAAGTTTTTTCCATTTCTTCCCAATTACGATAAAAATTTAGAGATACCATTTCCTACATAGATGATATCGCATCCAATTAACAAAAGGGCAGAGAAAACTCAAGCCTCTTCCCATAAGGTCAGAAGAAGACTAACACAGAAGGTGCAGAAGAAATCAGATGAAGGATAGATAAGTTATATCAATCAAATTACCAAAAGGACATGTGGTTTAGTTACTAAACAATTTTTTATTTACTTTTTCCTTCAGAATGCTATCATTTAAGTGGACCAAGGAGATGGCCTCCAAAGATCACTGTCAACTTCTACTCCCCTAGTTTAAATACATACAGAAACACTTCAACTTATTTACAAATAAATGGGAATTCTTACACATTCTTAAAAGATATATTTTCTATCTAGCATCTGGTTTAGTCTGTTTTTATGAAAACTTAAGGTTTCGTAAAATTCTATAATTGTCAGGATACTTAAACAATATTAAGTGCCAAATGTGCCTAGTAGCACCTATTTCTTAGAGTTCTGAGTCCCAAAACAGCTCCACTATAGAAGAAAACTAACATTTATGGACATATATTACCTCATTTGCTCCTATTAAGACTCTACATAGTTAGACCCATTTTCAAATCACAGAGGGGCAGAACTAGAATAAAAACCAACCCAGGTCCATCATGGACTGAAGTCCAGGTTTACCCCAATATATCAGATTTACCCTCTCATCTGGGCTTTAAGAATCCAAATAAGGGATGTGCAGGAGAGTACTTGATTGATGTATGCACCATAAACTAAATAAGAGACGTAAAAAAATTTGGCAAAGAGATCCTACTGCTAGAGAATCCACTGCTGTTGGGGTATGGAGTGGAGGAATAAGTCTTGAAAAAAATATAACTTCCAGAATGAAAAAAAGTAGAGAAACTAAGTTAAAAATATATGGCAGGGCCAAATCATCTGGGCAATTAAGACTGCCATATTTAAAAATAAAAATTATAGGATGCCCATTTAAATATGAACCAAACAAATAATTTTTTTTACCATATGTATACTCCATGCAATTATTTGGGTCGTATGCCTACAAACACAGTCATTTGCAGAAAACACAGTTGAAGGAAAGATGGAATAAAAGGAAATTCTGAGTCCCTCAAATTACATTTGAGAAAGATACTACACACAGCCGAGGTGTTCCTAATTATGACTCATCCTTTTGATTCCTCCCCAGTCATTTCACTAGTTCATTCCCTTCACTCTATGTCTATCATATATGACCCTAATTCCTTCATAATACTGTTATCTTGACATTTTCACGTACTGCACTTCTGAAGCAGGCTTCATGTTTATGTGTTCAGTTTTTTATGCAAAAAAAAAAAGCATTTTCTTTACCTATCAATTTCAGCATCCAGTTTTATCATTAAAGATTGTGTCATACACTGATTTTTCCTCCTTACTCAAAAGAGTTCTCTTGAAATTTACACTACAAAGGTGATAAGCAGTGGGTCTGCAAATACAATTTCTTCGTGTACTTCCTATTACATGATGTAGCAGAATACTACTAAAGAAAACTGAATACACCATACATAGATAAGCAACAAGGATTTACTGTACAGCACAGGGAATTATATCCAGTATCTTGTAACAATATATAATGGAATATAATCTGCAAAAAAAACCCAGTCACTATGCTGTACACGTGAAACTAAAACAATACTATAAATCAACTATATTCCAATTTAAAAAATAATAATTTTTAAAACTGTAAATAAAAATAAATTATCTAAATTTTAATACATATTTTACCAAAGACAGTACTATTTATTAGTAAACAAAGCACACAAAAATATTTGTACTTTCTACTGGAATAAAGAGAAGCTTTATATTCAGACCAAAAAATAGCTAATTTTATTTACCTTAAACAGATTAGATTCATAAATATACAAGAGTAAGGACTGCTTATGTATACCTTGGATGGGATTGAGAACGTTTTTTTTAATGCCTGTCCTAATTAATTGTGTCAAAAGACTGGAATCAAGGTGTAATTTTTTTTTAAAAAAGTAATCAAGACAGCTTAATAGAACTTGAGCTGTGAAATCCTAAATATGACAATTTAACTGAACAAAATTTAGAATCATACATATAGTCCCAGTTATTCATAGTACTTATATAATTTTATTTATGAGATTATGATGTTACTGTCACATTATACAGACCATATATTCAACTACAGACACCTATTTACATATAACATCCGGTGAGAAATGGAGAAACAGTCTTAAGTGCTTGGTAATCAATAAAATACTTTCTGAGGTTTTATACTCTTTACTACAAACAAACTATAAACTAGACAATGGTAAACTAACTAAGCAAAAGGTTTTTTCAGTTACTATTTTGCTTAAATTACTGTTTCAAAACAGGATGGGAGCTTATAATTTTGTGAATCTCTTTCTCTAAGGTTTTTACAAATGATTAAGGAAAGTACACCCAGATTTTTCCTTAGTTTTCAAACAACTGAATTACAATTTAAATAACTTGTTACATTTTAAATAATGTCATTTTAATAAAATTCCTGAAAGGGGGAGGGTGATAATTACTCTTTAAATTTTTCCCCCCTCTATTTAGGAAATCAGTCCTCACAATAAGACAAAAACAAATGACATTAAACAAGTTTAAATTGTACCACATTTTTAAATGATGTGGGTCTTACAATAGTCTATATAAATGGCTAATTCTTTTTTTTCTCTTTCGAATGGATTACAAGTGTTACATTCATGCCATATATCAACAAAGTTTGGTTAAATTACCATAAGGCTGATTTTTCTTTTTACTTTACTATGCTAACCATCCTTTAACTTTCATACAAAATCTTTCTGATAGTCAATAAATTAACCAAGTCTTTCAATCATCTTTGCACTTTTCATCTCAACATGGTCTGAATTTATGAATTTACAAGATTATTTGAAAGTTTAGGGTCACTGAAGTGGCTAAAGAGAAAGTTGAAATATTTTAAACTACATTTGTATTCTCACATGAAAACCACAGACAAACTGAAATCAAATGTCATGTGAACCACCCCAATTTCCTTTTTGGCCTAAAGCAGTAGTTATGGCTTTGTTCTGCTCAACCCTTTTAAAAAAAAGAAGTCCTTTATGCTTTTTACTTCCTCTTTTCTGGTAGTCATCAGTCTTCTCCTGAGGGTCACAGAACCAGGGTGTTGGGAGGATGCAGGTCAAACATAAACAAGCCTCCTCCTTCAGCCTCCTGTTGTCCTCAGCCTCTGGCACAGCGTTAATACACACCTTTAGGCCTACCCGCCTCTGTTCACGCTTGCTCCCTCTGCGGGTAAGGTGCCCCCAAGAACTGTGCCAGACTACTGTGAAGGTCCCACTCCAAAGCAGTCGACTTGATTTAGTAACCCTTAGGTTGCAGGCAAACCTAAACCACGGCTGGATGGGAGGCTCCCTCCCTCATCCTTTAAGCAGTTTCTAGGTAAAGCAAAAGATTCCCGCATTTACTGACTACAAATAAGTATTCACGTAAGTGACAGAAAGTTTTCATTCTCACCCGTTACTTTAAAGCACAGGGATCCTAAAAATCCTCTTTTCCCCTTCCTTCGAACAAAAGAAAACAAAACCCGATTTCTGCTCCATAAATTAAAAGATAGGCACTTTACAGTAAAAATGATCCACTTGTTGAAGCAACATTTCCACTTAAGACCTGTTAAAATACCACTGGTGATTTTTAAAGGCGCGTCGCATTTGTCCAACTGTCAGCACAACTGCGATCACCTCTTGCTAAGTGATGAAACTGAACTTAAAGACAGAGCTCTCCTGAGGCCGAAAGGTTCCTCATTCCTATTCTAAAACGAAAAACCACCATTTCAACTTAAATCAATTTAAAAATACAGGAACTCTTTCGTCCTCCTTTATTTAGATTCTTATTACTTCCTTAATCCAAAAACCAAGTCTTTCGGAAGGTCTAAGGTGCCGGCTATTACAATGACATCAAATTACAAAGCGTGACTTTGATTTCGCTCGCAAAGCCTGAACCAGGTCACTTTTAAAAGGCTGACAAACTTGCCAGAGGCGATTTTAAAAACAGAATGAGACAACCAAAACTGGGCCCCTGAAACCCTGAGCAGTTAGACCCTTGGACGCACTATTTCCCTCCCCGTCGTCCGGGACCCTGCCCACGCCCGGCCGTCGGTAGCCCGCGCCAGGAACACTCACCTGAGGCCATGGCTCCGTTCACCGCGCCGCTCCGCTCCGAGAGTCCGGACCGGAGGTCGCTACAGTCACTCAGCCCGTCAGTCGGTCGGCCTGCCCAGGGACCTCTGCTGGCGGGATCCCCAGTCCCCCTGACCACGCCCGGGGCCTCCTCCTCCGGGTCTGCGGCTCACACCTTCCCACCCGCTTAATCCTCGCGCTCCGGTCACCCGGCGTCGCCCGTCCAGGTGGCAGAAGCCAGGAGGCGGAGCGCAGAGACAGCGGAGAGCAAGTCTGCTTGAGAGGCGGCCCGGCGGGAGGGGACTTCCCGCGACTGACGTAGGATCCCTCACCTCCGCTACCAGGGGGCGGGGGCGGGGGCGGGGGCGGAGCGTCCTGCGACCTGCGCGCGTGCGTCCGCCCACCGCTGCCCGGCCCCGCCCCGCCCATGCCCCGCCCCCCACCCCCTCTGCTGAAGCCGGGGTGGGCTCGGGAACCGGTCGGGGAAGCTGGCTCTTCGGGAACGTAGGGAACGTTGGGAGCCGGGGAGTGACGGCCCCGAGCGTGCGAAAGCGGCGGCTCCCGAGAAATCCCCCTCCTCCAGGATGTTCTTGGGCGCTAGGCTTAAAGTTCAGGAGGGGTGGGAGGGTGCGGTGACGTCGAGAAGGGCCGGCCACCCGCCCGCGAGCACTTGGGGGCGGGCCGGGCGGCGAAGTGGGGCCGGCCCTCCCGGGCTAGGGGGAACGACGGCCGGGGTTTTCGTTGGGTGGTTCCCCCTCTTCCCTCTGTCGCACATGCAAATCTCCGCCCCCGGACGGGCGGGCGGCGCTGCGCGGGCGTCCCGGACCGCCCTCGAGGGGAAGTGCGGAAGCTGCCGCGGCCTTGGTGAGCCTGTAATTCAGGTATTTGCATACGGGGACCCCCGCAGTCTGATCTTCTCCCTTTGCATCATCTCATCTGTGAGGGCTCTATCAACGTACTTGACAAACTAAAAAAGTTTTCAAACTCGTAAGGTCCGCGGTGTAGTTCGTTTCCTCGTGACTCAGTGCTCCAAGTTAATGAAGTGGACACCCCATTGGGATTTGACAGACCCACGAGGAAAAGAGGACAAACGTGTAACATCAGAATCTAGGGTAACTTTTGTTTCCTTCCTGTGTAAAGAGTATTGTATGTGTCAGTTTAGTTACCCCATTTATAATGTATTATTATCCTCATTTTATAGATGAGGCAATCAGGGTTCAGAGAAGTAACTTGCCTGTACTTCAGAATGCTAGTAAAAAAGAACAGTTTAAACTCAAGTTTTCGGACTCCAAAACTCCATGCTCTTTCCACTTTCCTTTACCGTTTAAAATAAGTATGGAGAGGCTTTGGGAACTATCAGCCATACAAATGCCCAAACTGGAGGCCCCAGTTGGGAAATAATTAAAAATAAACTCTCCTGTCACCACCCCTCCTTCTACCCCAAAGCACCCTTTCCACAAAATATAGAAAACAATGAAACAGTTTTATGATAGCATAAGCCTTAAGCCATATTGTGATGCACTTAAAAGACCGCAAAGAGAAAAAGGAAATCTCACTCGTTTATATCATCAGATAGATGCAATCAATTACAATACCTGTTGTCTTTCTCCCAAGGGAAAATAATAGGAATTACATCTTGGAGCTAAAACTCGAGGTTGAAACTCCCAGAGATAGGGAGCTGGGGCCCCACCTTCCTTGATGTTCAGATTTCAAAGGGATAGCTCCAAGGCCCCCAAGAAAGATCTTCAGTTCAGTTCAGTTGCTCAGTCGTGTCCCCTTATCTTCGACCCCATGAATCGCAGCACACTAGGCCTCCCTGTCCATCACCAACTCCAGGAGTTTACTCAAAGTCATGTCCATCGAGTCGGGGTGATGCAGTCCAGCCATCCCATCCTCTGTCGTCCCCTTCTCCTGCCCCCAGTACCTCCCAGCATCAGGGTCTTTTCCAGTGAGTCAACTCTTCGCACAAGGTGGCCAAAGTATTGGAGTTTCAGCTTCAGCATCAGTCCTTCCAGTGAACACCCAGGACTGATCTTTAGGATGGACTGGTTGGATCTCCTTACAGTCCAAGGGACTCTCAAGAGTCTCCTCCAACACCACAGTTCAAAAGCATCAATTTTTCGGCTCTCAGCTTTCTTCACAGTCCAACTCTCACATCCATACATGACCATTGGAAAAACCATAGCCTTGACTAGACGAACCTTTGTTGGCAAAGTAATGTCTCTGCTTTTTAATATGCTATCTAGGTTGGTCATAAGTTTCCTTCCAAGGAGTAAGCATCTTTTAATTTCCTGGCTGCAATAACCAGTTGCAGTGATTTGGGAGCCCAAAAAAATAAAGTCTGCCACTGTTTCCCCATCTATTTGCCATGAAGTGATGGGACCAGATGCCATGATCTTAGTTTTCTGAATGTTGAGCTTTAAGCCAACTTTTTCACTCTCCTCTTTCACTTTCATCAAGAGGCTCTTTAGTTCCTATTCACTTTCTGCCATAAGGGTGGTGTCATCTGCATATCTGAGGTTATTGATATTTCTCCCGGCAGTCTTGATTCCAGCTTGTGCTTCTTCCAGCCCAGTGTTTCTCATGATGTACTCTGCATATAAGTTAAATAAGCAGGGTGACAATATACAGCCTTGATGTACTCCTTTTCCTATTTGGAACCAGTCTGTTGTTCCATGTCCAGTTCTAATTGTTGCTTCCTGACCTGCATATAGGTTTCTCAAGAGGTGGGTCAGGTGGTCTGGTATGCCCATCTCTTTCAGAATTTTCCAGTTTATTGTGATCCACACAGTCAAAGGCTTTGGTATAGTCAATAAAGCAGAAATAAATGTTTTTCTGGAACTCTCTTGCTTTTTCGATGATCCAGTGGATGTTGGCAATTTGACCTCTGGTTCCTCTGCCTTTTCTAAAACCAGCTTGAATATCTGGAAGTTCACGGTTCACGTATTGCTGAAGCCTGGCTTGGAGAATTTTGAGCATTATTTTACTAGCGTGTGAGATGAGTGCAATTGTGCAGTAGTTTGAGCATTCTTTTGGATTGCCTTTCTTTGGGATCTTAAGGGGGGGCAAAACTGGCAAGAAGCTTGTTTAGCTTTTTTAAAGGTGTACAATATTTGTTTACAGTTTCCTTTTTTCTAAAAGCATTGCTAAATGAAAAAAGATGGGAAAATGTTTTCTGTTCTTTTTGGGGCTAGGCAGATTTTTCAGTGTAATCATTTTAGACTTGTATTTACCCTTACCATCCCAAACGTCAGGGCTATGCGAATGAACTAAACATAAACATTTACAAATCCATTAGGAGGATGAGAGACAAAGAATAATGGAAAATATTTTGCATCTATTTTCTTATATTTCACCTCCAGAAACTGATTGACTTTAGGTGCTTCTTAATAGAACACAATAATGTTTGTTTACAGAAGAGTTTGGATCCAGACAGAAAAGCTCTCCCAGGTACAGGACCCCAGAGTTCTAAAACCACTCCTATCTGTGAAATCACAAGCTGGAACTTAGGAGATTTAGTAACACAACACAATTTTGAATTCGCTTTATTTTTATTTTCCAAAGATTTAACTTATTTAAACCTCCTCACTAATAGGAATGCATGTTTGTATTTATTTCCAGAACTATTTGTATTTGTCAAACACATAAGCCATAGGTTTATATTATCTCACCCTTAAAAGGCTTTTTTGAAAACCCTTTCACTATTTTAGAAACTTGCTAGGACTTCTCTGGTGGTCCTGTGACTATGACTCTCCCTCCCTTTGCAGGGGGCCCAAGTTCCATCCCTGGTCAGGGAACTAGATCCCACATGTCACCATTTATGTGCTGCAACTAAGACCCGGTGCAACCAAATAAATAAATAAATAAATGTTTTTTAAAAACTTGCTGAACCCTTTTATCAAAGATCCAGCCCACATCTGAAAAGTGAAACTATTTCACTTGTGCAGGATAAATTTAATTAGAAAGAAAGGAAGATTACAAGACAAGGTAATGGTTGGACTAAAAACAACAATAAATACAAACAGTAGTTTTATTTTTGTTAGGACTTACCCTGGGAAAAAATGGTGTATTAATGTAAAGATGATTGGTAGCTAGTTGGTGGGGATTATAATGAATTGTTGTTGTTGTTTAGTTCCTAAGTGATGTCCGACTCTTTTGCACCTCATGGACTATATGTAGCCTGCCAGGCTCCTCTGTCCATGAGATTTCCCAGGCAAGAATACTGGAATGGGCTGCCATTTCCTTCTTCAGGGGAACTTCCCAACCTAGGGATTGAGCCTGCATCTCCTGCAATGGCAGGCAGATTCTTTATCACTGAGCCACCAGGGAAGCCCATTATAATAACTAGCACGTGGTATTTTTCTTCAAGGGCTTGCAGTTGTTGATACTATTTATTCAGTCCAGCAAATATCTACTCTGTGCCAGGTGCTCTTTAGATTGTGGCACAAACATTAATAACAAGATAATCAACTATTCCTCAGTTAAAAAAAAATAAAGACAAAATCTCTGCCTTCATGCAGCTATATTTCACATGAAAGACATCAAGCATTTTAACACATAAGATCATCTCAAATACTATAATTAAGCTATTTTATTTCTTTATTGCTGTAAAGAAGATAAGGTAATGGCATAGAAAGTGATTGAGAGGGAGAGGCATACTCTGAAGATGTGCCATTTGAGCTGAGTCCTGAGGAACGAGAGACATCCACAGAAAGATTCAGGGAAAGAGCCTTCCAGTCGGTGGAACACCAAGTGTGAAGTCCTTGGGAAGAAAGTGTTAATTTGAGGGACTTAGAGGCCAGTGGGACCAGACCAGACTGAATGAGGTTGAAGAGATAAGCAGGGTCATGGTAAGGAGGATGAATTTTATTCCAGCTGCACAGAGGAACCTATGGAGAGTTTTAAGCACATGGTTGATTTATGATTATGTTTTGAGAGATTTACTCTGGAGGATGTGTTAAACTGTCAGGGGCACTGTAGGAAAACCAGAGGCAAGCGTGAAGGTAGAGCAGC